TTTTTTCTTAAGACTTAAGTAAGATAAAACAATAGATAACAAGTAGATTAAAAATACAAAAATTGATAAGGGCATAAATAGAAACACAAAACTAGTACATAACACGTAAATAAAAAGTACAAAAGGTAAATAACATAAATGGAAACACAAATTAAACCATTTTTTTTTTCATAAGCCCTAAGTAAGAGAAAATAGTAGATAACAAATAAGTAAAAAATACGAAAGGTGAAGGACATAAATGGAAACACAAATTAAACCGGGTTTTTCTTAAGCCTTAAGTACGAGAAATAATAGATAATAAGTAAGTAAAAAGTACAAAAGGTGAATGACATAAAGAGAAACACAAATTAAACAGTTTTTTAAGCCATAAGTAAGAGAAAATAATAGATAACAAATAAGTAAAAAATATAAATAGTTAAGGGTACTATAAAGAGATAAAAATTAGTTGACACGTGCTTGCTTCATCACATTTATTATATATAATAGATATTAATTTTTATTTAACTAATAAGAAAAGTAATTTGGACATTACATGTCCTAAAAATTAGTTTTAAGGTATCAAAAAGATATTTTTAAAAAGATTAAAATACTGTTTTAATATTATTAAAAATACAAAATCTTAAGAGCATATTTCGATATAATATAAAATACCAAAATTTACTTTTTATTTATGTTTTGCATTCTAAAATTAATATATGATTTTTAAGAAATAATGCAACAAGTGGCACTATTTTTTTATGCATATTCTATTTTTATGATTTTCTTTATTTTTCGTATTTAAAAAATAAAATAAAATAAAAATGACGTCAAAAAATAATGAAATTTTACAGACACAATCATTACATTTTTCTAGACATGCCAGAAAAAAATTACCTCAAAAATTGACAAAAAAAAGTAAAACCTGTTAAAAAGTCACCGGCTCGCGTAGTAGGGCGCCCAGGGGCCATCTTAGAGGCCGAGATGGGTAAAAAATGTACAATTTTATTTATTTTTTACATTCTAAAATTAATATATGATTTTTAGCAATTAATGCAATAAGTGGCACTATTTTTTGATGAATATTCTATTTTTTATGATTTTCTTTATTTTTCATCTTTAAAAAATAAAATAAAATAAAAACGACGTCAAAAAATAATGAAATTTTACATACACGATCCTTACATTTTCGCTTACTGTAAAATTGTAAAAACTGTTGTTTTTACTATGCTCTTTCCCCCTCCATAAACGATTAAGCCTCACACTTTGTTTTGTTCAGAAAAAGAACTTTTTTTTTAATTGGGTTTCACATTTTTTTAATATATTTTTTTCCCTGCAGCCATCTCCCTTGTCTCTCACATCATCCCTTGTCTCTCACATATTCACGTGGCCACCAACCTCACTCTTCCTTCTCCCTTAGCACTTGTGAATGCTTCTGCAAGGATGTGATGAATCCCACCCGTCCATTTCCATCGAACGGTTGAAAATTACTTACCGAATAAGTCAAGTAAATAGTTGCTGCCGGACTAAAGACCATTCCTTTTATGAGAAAAAAATGATTTTAAATTTCCGCTGCTGCCCTTTTTCTCTATATAAAGACAGTTCGCATGCACTGTGGAGACGTACACCATTTCTCAAAAGTAACCAAAATCATGATGACATCTCAACTCTCACTAATCTTCTTTAGCCACGTCTTTTTACTTTTTTTTGGCTATGCAGCTGCTACAAGTAGTCTAGCTCAAAATATATCAAGAAAATACGACACCGTTTTCCTCAACAGAAGCAGTTTCCCAGCTGGTTTCATCTTCGGAACAGGTTCATCAGCTTATCAGGTAATCGAGTAAGGCTTAAACGAAGGCTTAATTTTCCACATTCTATGATCTGAACAATTTACATACATATATATATATATATATGCGCACTTAACTTTGTGGATTTTTCTTTTCATCTTTTTTGCGCGTGTGTGTGTGTCGACGTTATATATGCATCTGAGTTTGTGAATTTGATCAGTTTGAAGGTGCTTGGAACGAAGGTGGTAGGGGAGTAAGTTTGTGGGATACTTACACTCACAAATACCCAGGTTTTTCTCTTGATCTTTCTGTACTTTCTCTTTCTGTTTCATTAATGTTTTTCTTCCTTTTCTTTTGCAAATAACCATATTCAAAAGAAATTTTCGACATTTAGCTTTTGCGTAGATTATATTTTATTGCCTTTGGGCTCATATGATCAGCAAGTTGCTAGTTTTTAAAACAGCCAAAACCATATAAGGTTAATTGGTTCGATTTGAACTGGATCGTTATTTTTTTTACTTGATTTGATTTGGGATTTCAAAATCGCTGTTTCAAACCATCAAACGCAAATTCATTTTTTTAATTATTAATTAATATTTTGGCATCTCATTTTAGCGGAGGTTGCACGTAAGAAAGTATAACAATCATGTCTTTCAAATGGTTAAAAATGTATTAGTTCTTCAAAAGTTGATTTTATAATAACTTTTATGTATTTCATCTTTATTATTTCGTTTGATCATTGCATCCGTTTAAAGTTATTTAGATTTTATTAAAGTTTAATATTTAAAAATAAATCTAATGGACGAAAGCTTTGCGCTCATTTTTATGATTTTAATGATACGAAAATTCAATAGGTCGTTGAATAATCCAAAACCACGGTTTCAAACTGCCCCAAATCTAAATTACTTGGTTTCAAACGCACCAAACGGCTAGAAGTGGTTTAAGTTAGTTTGGAGTTTCTAAAACTGTATAATGGCAGTTTGAACTGAAAAATATCCCTTGCTACGATACATGCAGAGATATGAAAGTTTTAAAAAGCCTATATATACGACTGCATATCTCAATGGATTTTTGAAGAGACCTAAAATAATAATATTAAAAAATAGGTGCTTTTCATGGTAAACCAAAAGCAAACAACAAGAATAAGCAAACTATATGACATATATCTATATATGTATTTGAATTTATTTATTTCGCAATCTATATTTATGTTGTATATATGTGCACATAATATGCATATCTTATCTCGTGGTGCATTGCAGAAAAGATAACCGACGGGAGCAACGGGGATGTAGCAACTGATCAGTATCACCGCTACAAGGTGAAACAAGATGATGATGATGATGATGTTGATGATGATGATAATAATGATGATGATGCTAATGAAGACGTGCCGTATAAGAAATATAGGCTAAATTTCCTAGTTTAGCATTCAAATTATAATCCATATGATTTCTTAGTTCTTGACTTTTAAAATACCATTGACCCAGTTCTTTTATTTATCACGTCATTCAAAATTAGTCTTTTCGTCTATTGATTGTTAATAGATTGGTACTGATGCATTCTGGGCTGACTTTTAGAAGTAAGGAGATTTGACTTACAATTTGGAGACAAAAATAACATTAGTCCAAAAATAAATTATTTTAAGAAATTAGAAATGAATAAATCTTTGTGGCTAATTCATTTTGTTACTAAATTTGCTCCATTATACCATATATATATATATATATATATATATATATAGGAAGATGTGCGGATTATGAAGGAAATGAATACGGATGCTTATAGATTCTCCATCTCATGGACCAGGTTGTTGCCAAGTAAGTTCGCTGTCTTCAACTATCATTATGATCATGTAATACTGTAAATTTGAGATAATACGCTATTTGGATAGATCAATTATAACCCCCTAGTTCTTTTTAAACTATTTACAATACATGCCATTTTTTTTTTTTGCTGAAATCAAACTCAAAAACAAATGCCCACATTTATTATTTTTTTCAGCTAAAGGTGTGTGTGTACTATTTTTACATATAATTCCTTTGATCAGATGGAACAGTAAATGGGGGTGTGAACAAGGAAGGAGTCAAGTACTACAACAATCTCATAAACGAACTCCTAGCCAAAGGTGATTATATATATGTATATATATCATAAAACCTCATTATACATAGTAGTACGTTATCCTACGTCATAACAATATCTTAATTGCTTATGTTTTGCTTAATATAGGTTTGACACCTTTTGTGACTATCTTCCACTGGGATACTCCTCAAACTCTAGAGGACCAGTATGGCGGTTTCTTAAGCCCACGCATTGTGTAAGTCTTTGTCAAATATCGATTGCAGAAGTGTAATTAATCACATTTATCGTAAATCGTTTTTCATGGGTTTTCGCTTTTTTATATACTGTACACAATATATACAGGAACCATTTCAAAGACTACGCAGACCTTTGTTTTAAGGAATTTGGAGACAGAGTAAAGCATTGGGTCACCATCAATGAGCCATCTGTCTACACCACGAATGGTTACGTAAGTGGGATTTTTGCGCCGGGCCGATGTTCGGCGTGGCAAAACGCTAATTGCACCGGTGGGGATTCAGGGACAGAACCGTATATAGTTGCCCACTATCTGATCCTCTCTCACGCTGCCGCAGTCAAAGTATACCGGGAGAAGTATCAGGTGATTATCGTATAATAAATTTGACGATCACAGATCTAATAGTTAATAAATAATACAATATTGATTAAGTTGAATATTGGAGATTCAACTATTTATGAGAGTAGTTAAAAACTGTGTGTGTGCTGCAGGAATCTCAAAAGGGCTCGATAGGAATAACACTGGTAAGCGACTGGTATGTGCCGTATTCAGACGCAAGGCACAACGTGAATGCTGCAAAAAGATCCGTTGATTTCTCGCTAGGATGGTATTAAGCTCAGAGAATATATATAACTAATTTTTGTGCCATATTTTATATGGTTTTGTAACTAATTTCTTTAATTTATTTTTTTTATTGCAGGTTTTTGGACCCATTGGTATATGGTTACTATCCACATACCATGCGAGTTCTAGTAGGAAACCGATTACCAAAGTTCACCAAAAAGGAATCCCAACTTGTTAAAGGGTCATATGACTTTCTAGGAATAAACTACTACACTAGTAACTATGCAGCTTATGCGCCTAGTCACAATAACTTGCAACTCAGCTATAATACGGACTCTCGTGCAAACGCTACAGGTATATATGTATAATATCGGGTTAATTAAGTTAATTAATTTAGGTAGAAGATCGAGATTAGGGATATTAATTTAATTTTGACAAATGTTTTTATGTTCTCTATGGCAGCCGTACGAAATGGTGTCCCCATTGGTACACAAGTACGTACACATATATATACCAATTATATATTATTTATTAACTATATGCTTGAGTACTCTTGATGAGCACTATTATAAGAAGCAATTTGGATCTTATAATTCTTCTTTGCTTTGTAAAGTTTGTTAATTGTGATATGCCAATATTGCAGGCTTCTGGTTCATTCTGGCTTTATGCCTATCCGCAAGGACTTTATGACCTTTTGATGTACACGAGGACAAAGTATAACAATCCACTAATTTACGTGACGGAGAACGGTAATTAGTCTTTAATTGTTATTATTATTATTAGTAAATTAATAATTATCTGAGTAATCAGTACCTTTCTAATTCTTGCTAATTACGTACATGCAGGTGTTAGTGAGAAAAATGATCCCACATTATCGCTTAAACAAGCCCTAAATGACACCCACAGAATTGATTACCACTTCAAACATCTCACTAAACTTTCAGAAGCTATCCGGTAATTAGTCTTTAACCAGTTTTAATTAACTCTCTTAGCCCGATTATTTTATCTAACATGACATGACTTAATTTGGATAAAATTTTAAATTTGTGCAGGGACGGGGTCAATGTGAAAGGATACTTTGCATGGTCATTCTTGGACAACTTTGAATGGGCTTGGGGTAAAACTTCTCGGTTTGGCATTTACTATGTGGATTTCAACAATGGGCAAAAAAGATACCCTAAACTCTCATCACACTGGTTTAAGAAATTCCTCAAGAAATAATGAAGTACTACACTCTTTAGATCTTATTATTGTAGTGATGGAGAGTTCTTTAATCGTCGTTTTTCTTTTGTTTTGTAATAAATATTGCTATCCCTTGAGGACTGATCTTTCGTTTAGTTTTTATTTATTTATTGTGGCGTCATTGTGTTTGTTGTACGACAAGCCGTTTTGCTGAAATGGACCGCACATTTCCCTAATTTTCAGCTTGTTCTCGTGTTAGTGGAGGCCTAACTATTTGGCTGCTTTGCAGAAGCTTATTGCTCTGAGAATTTATGATTAATGCGATAAATTGGGATCAATTGAAACCTTGAATCTCTTAATTGTCTTTGAGTTTATAAATAATGTTGGAATTTGTTCCCTTATTACTTATAAGCAGCTAGTGATGATGTAAGGAGAATGATCTGATCATTGCTGGTTTGTTATGAGTTGGATCACACACACGAGTCTTTGGTCGACACGCATATAGATATACATACACCTATATGATATATGTTACCAAGGAAAGCTTGAGCATTTTTGCTGGCTACCATTATCTATGCATATATGTGTGTATATAAATATAGGTCTGGGTGTAATTTTTTAGGGTAATTTTCTAAATATTGTGGCCTACTTAAAAATACTCATAAGGTTAGCTAAGAAGTTAAAGTACAAAGTGTACGCATCTTTTCTTGTTGAATTAGCACTTGTTGAGTCCTCCATAAACTTTTGATTCCATCCAAATTTGATAGTCGTGGGGAATGGGGAAACAATCCATGATTGAAAATAAAACTACTACGATTTTTCTGTAAATGTTTTCTACTAGCTTTTTTTTTTAATTCGAGTTATTCTGTTTAATCTTGTCTTGTTATCATTTAAAATATAGTAATAAGGCTCCCTTTGCTGAGAGAGATGAAGAGTATTAAAGATAGAGAGAGTTTGAAAGATGAAAAGTAAGAAGAATGGATAAGCTTATAGTAATTCTTCATGTTGTTTGATATGAGTCAGAGAGAATTAAAAAGATAGATGATAGTTGTTTGTCTAATTACTATATTGTGAGATAGAATCTAGAGGCTCTGATACCAACTTGAAAAGTAGAGAAATTGTATTTTTTATTCATACTTTGTGATTAGTCTGTACATGGTTATATAGGTAGAAAATACATCAGCTATCCCAGAATCACGTCCTAGAATCAAGCATAACTATTTTGTTCATATTCATCATACAACTGTGGTGTCCCTAAATTAGGAAAGAATTACAAAGGAGATTACAAGGATCAATAACAAATCTCAACAGTTTGTCTAATTACTATATTGTCCGTTTTAATTATTTGGCAATAATTTTTTTAGGGGTAAAATAAACTTTTAGTTTTAAAATTAGATGGATTGATTGGATCTCTCCATTGATGTAAGGATCCAAATTAGTGAGCTTAGAGGGAGACTCTCTCTCTCCATGCCTCCTCTCCATTCTCTCATCCATCCAATCAAACAAAAATTTGTTCTCTCCCCCTACATCTCTCCCTCCACCTCCTCTCACTCCTTCCATCTCTCCCTCTTACCAAACACACTCTAAAGCTGACACAGTAATATTCTCGATTAGTATTTCTTCTTTCGGTTTCTGAAAATTATTATCGGTTAGCATTAATGGCAGCTACACTTGTGTTTGTTGTAATAACACAAATTTGAGAAAACAAAAAGAATAAAAATAAAAGAGATCAAAGTGGTAGTGGTAGGGCTGTAGGCCCCGGAATACTGATAATATTATTTTAAAGTCCAATCCATGTGCATTTACTGTTAGCCTCAGCAAAAGAATACAATAATATGATGGAAAATAGTAGAAAATAGGCCAATATAAAAAGCTTAAGAAATTATATAAGCCAATTTTTAGTTATAGAAATTAATAGGTCATAATTTGTCTAGTTATGCTTCATAACCAGATAAGTTATGAACAAACTTGTTAAGTTATGGTTCATAGCCAGACAAATTATAGATAATTATGGACAATAACTTGTCAAGTTATGGTTCATAACCAGACAAGTTATAGACGAAAACAATAATTTAGCCTATTTATTAACTTATGTAAACTATTGGCCTATTAATTTTAATTCATCTCAAATTATTTCCCTCTTTCTCCCTATTAGCCCAAAAGAAAAACGAATGCAATGATATGATTAATGTCTTTTTTTTTTCAAAATGTCATGACTTTGTCTTTGTATTAGCAGCAGAGCTAAGATTTTCTTTCTTTATTTTTCACAATTCTTTCCATCATTTGTCCTCGATTTTTTAATTACAATATTCACATAATTTTTAAAAAAGTTATTATATCCTAAGTTTTAATTTTTAAATACTCACATTTTAATCTTGAAAAATCAAATAAATTAAAAATTAGATATACTACCGTACAAATATAAATGCACAATTTTGGACGATTTTACTTAAAAAATTAAATTAAACTCATTTAAAGTTTATTTCATTTGAGGGAAAAAAAAATTAGAGACACTTATAGCTAAAACCAAAGTAAAAGAATATTCTATTGTAATTTTATGTCAAAATTTTGTTTTTAAAAAAAAAAAAAAAGTTTCGCGTCTCTATATCAATTATCATGTAGTGGGAAAGGGAGAACGATACTAAAAGTCTACAAAGTTGTTTATTTCTTTATTCGATTTACTATTTCCACAAAACTCCTTTTTTTTTTTTTTTTTTGAGTAGCACAAAAACTCTAAATTGAATATTCAAACATTGATCAACGCAGGGACAATTATTTTACTTACGGTAAACACATGCTCTATGTAGTGAAATTAAGTCTAGGAATATTGCATGGAAATCAACGCAGCTGTCATATTTCGTGTTGAATTTGTGTCTAGAAAGACAATCACTACAAGAAAAAGCGGTTTTTGCGACGATAAAAAGTCGTCACAAATTGTAGTTTTTGCGACGACATGTCGTCGCAGATATGTCGCCGCAAAAAAATAGTCGCAAATACTTTATTTGCGACGAAACATTGTCGTCGCAAATACATTTGCGACGACATTTTTCTTTTGCGACGCCCGTCGTCGCAAATACTCCGTTGGTTAATTTGTCGTGATATAACATTTTTTGCGACGACAATTTCAAAAAGTCGTCGCAAATAATTCAAATTTTTTTGCGACGACAAGTATAAAAATGTCGTCGCAAAAACTGAAATAAATTTTTTTTTTGAATTTTTAAAAAAATGACAATTAATTAATTTTTAATAATTTTAATTAAACATTATTATGTTACATACTAAGTATAATTTATTAAGATACATTAAAAGTAAAATATAGATTAATATTAAAAACAATAAATCTAAATAAATTTATAAAATATATTATGAATAATACATGAAGTGCATATATAATGTTCAACAAAATATAAAAGCCTAAATAAAGTGAAAAATCATACAGAACATATAACAGAACTATTCATCTAGGTTTGCAGCATCGCCAACAGCTGAATCATCATCAGGACTGTCATCATCTGAAGGAGGCAGAGGAGCGTCTAGGTTAACTG